TTTTAATAAGATTCTGTCTTATTGATTCAAATATGTAAAGGAATCTTTTACCTGTATCCTATTTAGCAGCAGATTATCAATACTGTGCTAAACTAGATTTGTCCACTAGGTGACACTCTTGGTAGTAATGTAGAATCCAACTTGCTGTATGCCTTTGTAAATTCATTCAGTGAAGTGGTGTCAGAATCAAATATAAGAAACTGCAAACTCAGTCAAAATATCCAGGTGAAAGCAGAAATTTTGACAAGCAAATGTAAAGGCCAGATGACAGGAAAAGGTGTTTTGCACTACGCTGTGTCAATACAGAATTCTGTAATGCTGGCAAAACCTGTAACACTTATAAGGTCTCCTTCATGTTATATGTATGTCCTGGAGTCCATGTAGGATTACTGGTGACTAGGCACAAAGAACAAACTGATTGCATTCTGTTTCCTGCTACCCTGGAGAAATCTGGAATTACTTCATTGAGTTGCTCCAGGTTTACATGAGGGAAATGAGGTCTGGCCTACACTTAAAAGTTTTACCGGAAAAACTTTTACTTCAGTTGGGCGTGTGGGTTTGACTGAAATAGTTTATACCTGTAAAAGCCCCAGTGTGGGTACTGGTATAAAGGTTACTTGTATAGCTTATTCCGCTTCCCCTACAGAATAGCTATACCAATATACAGTAAGCACTTTGTTTCTGGTATAACTGTGTCCATGTTTTATGGGGGTGGGGGGAGTACCACTATAGTTAAAGCACAAAACTTTCTAATGTACATAGGGCCTGAGAGTGGATTTTGACCAATTAAAAAATCCAGCCCCTGGGATTTTTAAAAGATTGATGCAAAAACAACATACCAAAATTGGCCAAATTATAAACAGAATGTCCCTGTAGAGTAAGAAGATTGTGGACTAAACATACAGAACAAAGCCCTTGAAGACCATTCCAGCTAAGGTTCATCTGACAGGTCAGATTAGGCTCTGAATTGCAGATGTGTAAATCTCACTTCTGAAAATGGGATTTAGGCTCTTAAATCACTTACATGCTTCTGAAAATTTTATCCCAATAAATAACATGCAAGGATCAAATCTTCAAGTGTGACATGATTTCAGTTGATGGGTCTCAAGATTATACCTCTCCTTGAACTGCAGAGAGGTTTGACAATAAATCTGAAGCAGGCAGTGCACTTAGTGATAGACCAAATCATGTGGAAGCAGCAGTGCCAGCCCAGCTAAATGTTTAATGAAGAGACAACTAAGAACCACAACTATTTTCAAACAGAACCGACTTTAAAGTACAGCAAAAGCAGTCAAAATGACCGGAAGGGGCTTGCTTCCTGCTTAGTATTTTTATTAAATACAAGAAAATGTGACAAATGCAAAGGTATTATGGGTCTGATCTGTCACTGCATTACCCCAGTATAGTGTCTGTAGGCACAAGCAGGTTGAGCTAATAGAGCCTTCCCTCAGAATGTCCTGGCTTGTTGGTTTAAGGTAGGTTGTAATATTATTTTACCTCTAAATTCAGTGAGTCATGGTCAGAATGAAATGCAAGAAATAGTAAAATCAGCAAAAATGTCCAAATTTAACCTGGTGAAGCTGCAGCACGCTAGACTCAAGGCCATTACTGAAAATGAATCTGCAGGTTTATGCTCCTTCCCACTCATGGGAGCACTTCGGGTTATGTTCTGATTGCAGAAACTTCATCATGAGTGATGATACATAAGCCAGAAAGAACCAGCTTGACTCATTTATCCCAGAGTGTGCTGGGCTGAGAATTGAAAAAATCTATGCACTTGTAAACGCTGAAAATCCGATATGGAACTATTGGCAGACAATCATGGAACCCCACAGTGCCATTTTTGCAGGCTTTTTTCACAGTAGTTCACAGTGAAATTCATTTTGAGAGGAATTCTCTCCTCTGCTGCTGAGCCAGCCCCAGCAGGGGAGAATTCCGCCCAGCACAGGCTTTGCATAAGCACTGCCGCCACAAGACCCAGGGTAGGAGGCATGGTGAGTGTGGGAGAGGAGTGTTGCAGGCTGAAGGTGTAGGTGGAGCTGCCCACACACGCAGCTGAACCTGAACCTCAGCAAACCCTCAGAAATGTCTGTTCTGTCGGAGGTCTCTCAGGCCCCTGTGGCAGCCCAGAATTGGGAGAGCACATGTGGCCTAAACTCAAATCCCCCGCACCCCAAACCGTGGCTGTGAATTTTGTGTTGTGCCTCTTAGAAGGCAGTGCAGAATCCCGTCCTTTAAAATTTGAAAATAAATGGATATAATACAAAGGATCTACTGCTTAGGTCTTGGAAGAGAGTCCTGGGGTTCCCATCTTCTTTTCTTTGTATCTTTCTCCTCCTCTCTTTGCCTAACTCCATAATACAATTAGATAAATGGGACTGGAAGCTTAAAACTCTGCAAGCCAAAGGCCAAGTAATAATGAGAAAAATAACATTCACCAGTATGTGACAAAGCAAACTGAGCCAATGGGAGAAGATTACTAATATCTGTGTCCTGAGAGATGCTGAAACCATCTGGTAACTGATGTAGCTGGAGAACAAAATTAGATCAGTACTAGAAGCCCTACACCAATAGCTGCAGGCTTATCAGGATTGATCGAAGCTTAAAAATGGTCCTACAGCATTTTTGTATACCTAATCTTCACAACGCAATTGAGGAATGGTACAACACCCTGCTGGGAATATAACTTAAAAAGAATGCCAATCACCAAAGAAAGGCACTGCTTGCATGTCTGAAAACTTCAGCCCCTGTGAACTGGTGGCACTAGATTATCTTGACATTGAATGAATGAGATGTTTTTTTTGTCATCTTACAGACATTCACAAATAAATGAATTACATACCGGTAATGCAGTGGCTGTCTGTGTGCAAATAAAACAGTCACACAGACATCAGAATCTGGTTTATTGAGATCTAGCTTTTTGTGAGGCTATGCCTTATCCCTTTCAGAAGGTGTGAGGGGACATTTAGGGCTGGTCCAAACTAATCCCCCACTTCAAACTAAGATATGCAACTTCAGCTATGTGAATAAAATAACTGAAGTCGAAGTATCTTCGAACTTACCGCAGGTCCACACGCGGCAGGCAGGCTCCCATGTTGACTCCATGTACTCCTCTCGCGGAGCAGGAGTATCGGCGTCGACGGCGAGCACTTCCGGGATCGATTTATCGCGTCTAGACAAGACGCGATAAATTGATCCCAGAAGATCGATTGCTTACCTCCGGACTTGGAGGTAAGTATAGATGTACCCTTAATTTCCACTGGGAGAGCCACAAACAGAAGTTGCCCTTCAGAGGAGACCTTAAATTGGGGTAGCACTTGTCACAGTGCAACATCCTTCCCTCATACTGCACAGTGCTGTTAGCACTGGATAATAACTCACCCCTTGAGTTGGGAACTTTCCCAACAATCTTGTGGCCCAGAGAAAAATGATAGAAATTGAGCCATGCAATTCTCTGTGTGGATTCTGTAACCTGTTTGTAGTAATGTATCAATTTACTCTGTGGCATAGCTTCACCAATATGGGTCCAAGCTCTTTGACAGTCATCACAGCATGAATCTATGTATCTATCATACTTGTATGATAGTACATATACTTGTATATTACATATGTTTATGATTAGAGCTGGGCTTTTCTGCCCCACAATTTCCCCCCATTCTGCATCATGGCAGGAGGAGAGGTGGGAAGAGAGAAAAGAAAGCCATAGGCTGGTGGTTAGGACACTCATGGACATGGGAGTCTGGAGTTCAAGTTCCCTGTTCTGAACCCAAATCCCAGGTCTGTGCCCAAACCCCTGGGCTTTGTATCTCTGTGGCTTTGAACAGAATTTCCATCCTGCACCTGAAAAACCTTTCCCCACAAGAGTTTTGGTTTTGACACATGGTGATATTTTTGGATGTAATCATTCTTAACTTAAAAAAAAAAAATTCCTGACCCGCTTTCTTTATGGTAGGCAGTATCTGAGCACCTCACAACCTTTATTGTATTTCTCCCCCCACTCCCTCTCTGAGACAGGACAGTGCTATTATCCCCATTTTGCAGATGGGAATCGAGGCACAGAGGGATTGAGTGCTTTTCCTGAGATGACACAGAAAATCTGTTGTAAAGTAGAGAACGAGACGAGAGTCTCCTGAGCCCAAGCCTAGTGCCCTAATCACTGGACCATCCTTCCTTCCTTCCCTGCACTTTTGATGCCAAATGTGATGTTTAAAAATCATGATAATCCTGCAATGTGTCACTGCACACAAGCCTGCTAATAAACAAATCCTAGATCCTTCAGTCTGGCTGTAGATGTGTTGTGGCATTCCCATGTACAAATAAAACATTGAACCAAACAGAGGACCAGTGTTTAGGAACCTCACGTGTTCAAACCTTAGTCATGTTTTACTGTGGCTCATATCAAAGCATGCAGATAGCTCTCCACTACAGAAACATTTATAGTTCATTACGTTTCCATTAAGCTTTGTTGGTGCACCCATGAAGGTTCATTAATTCCACAGTAGCGGGATACCAGTAACCCCACGAAAAGGGCAAGTATAGTATTGTGCCAGCAACTACTGAGTTCAATCCTAGCTCTGACGCTGAAACCTTCAGTGATCTTGGGAGAGTTGCTTAGCCATTTTTGCCTTATTTACCCCATTTGTAAAATAGGGATAGTAAAATATATTTATCTCCTTCATAAGGGTATGGTAAGGATTAATTAGTTTATGCTTGTAAAGTGCTCTATATAGATACATAAAAAGTATTACTGTTTATTCCTTTAAACAGGCTGTAGGGCAGCTGCAGAGCAGAATAAAATTCTCACCCACCAGGGAACATAGCCAGTCACACCTGGAACCGTTATGATATTTTGGGCAGACTGATTTCAGTTAACCAGCTGTAATGTTACAGACTCCAGATATATTGCATCTTTGATTTCAATATTCTGTTATAGAGGTTCACCAGAACTAGGGCCTTCTTAGTGAATGTGCAGTGATAATACAAGTGAAAGTCATTTAAAATTATCTGATATCATCTATGTTTTTGATAATGCTTGTTAAAATTTTACTTTTCCATTGATTGGGTGGTGAAGTAGCCACTCTGTAATTAAGGTTGGTACTTTTAGTAATCATTTTATTTTCAAACTCCAGCACTACCACCTTCCCCAGAGAGAAACATTCCCCCTGAAATTTCATATGATACATCTGGGTAGAATTTTCCTGTGAGGCTTGTGGGTTTTTTTTTTTTTCCCCCCAAGACTTTTAAAGTTACAGTGATTAAAAATGTCTCTGTGGTTGACCAGAAGTTTTATTAGCTTTTTTTAGCTCAACATCTCTCCAAAATGACTCCAAGTGAGTTTTGTTCTCTTGATTACCTGTTACACAATTGTAGTTCAGACAGTTAAAAATGTAAACTTGGAAGGTCTCTCTCTCTGTACCACCACATAATTGACACATTTTATAATGCCAAGAAGAACAATCATTCCAAATATATTTATCCCATTATGAAGAAACTTCCAGACCTCTGATATAATTTAATGTAACCTGGGACTATGTTCCTTTTGAAATGTCTTCTGCACACTAAGCAAACAATATAAAAAATCAATAATAGTATGTCTGACAGAAATATAATTGAAAAAGCTTTCCCAAGCAACATAAGAAAACATATCAGAGGATGATCAATAACATATTCATAATGGAGATGCTGTATTAGTTTACGTGTTGTATTCTACTGTACATTAGTATCTAGTTTAAGATGACAGAGACTATACATGTTTTTTCAAATTTAAATCCACCATCTTTAGGAAGAGCAGGGAAGAGAAACTACAAAACCAGCATTTTACAGTATTTGTTGCCTTAAATACTTTTTAATGATTCTATTAACGCCTCATGTTTGTTTTTCAGGGAAGGTAGTATATGGGGAACCTATTGCTGCTAGTCTTGGTACAGATGGCACTCACTACTGGCATAAAGAATGGCATCACGCCGCAGGACATGTCATGGGACCTCCACTGAGGCCAGACCCTTCAACACCGGATTTCCTCATGAACTTACTAGCCAAGTAAGCAGACTAAAAAGCAGTGAGAAGTCCTGCTGTATTGTGTATGAGACCCATTAGATGATTTATTAATGGGTCACAGCTACAGCACTTCCTGTATTCAAATAAATAAAGTTGCTAGCAAAAGAGTAATGGGGCAGCAAGGCTGCATGTTGGCAGAAAAGGTGTAATCAGATGGCAGGATCTGTAGCCACACTTTGGGATGCCCGGCTCCTTGGCTAACCCTTTTGGTTAGCAGGAGTTTGAACCCTGCATCAAACTGCTGAGTAAATTCTGCTGACTCATGGTGCCAGTTAGGGCTTGTTCCCTCCAGCAGCATGACCCTCTACTCAGAAGGAAGGAGGGGCAGAGACTGGGGGGTCCCGCAGGAATCCTTAGGAAACCAGCCATGAGGAGAAAGCTTAAGCTGAGACTTTATTGGTGACTGAAACAACAAAAACAATGAGGAGTCCTTGTGGCACCTTAGAGACTAACAAATTTTAGCCCACGAAAGTTTATGCCCAAATAAATTTGTTAGTCTCTAAGGTGTCACAAGGACTCCTTGTTGTTTTTGCTGATACAGACTAACACAGCTACCACTCTGAAACCTGAAACAACAAAGTAAGTCAAACCTCAAGAAGGGGATACATTTGTCATTCTGCAGCATTTGCAGATCATAGAAGATTAGGATTGGACGAGACCTCAGGAGGTCATCTAGTCCAACCCCCTGCTCAAAGAAGAACCAACCCCAACTAAATCATCCTAGCCAGGGCTTTGTCAAGCCAGGCCTTAAAAACCTCTAAGGATGGAGATTCCATCACCTCCCTAGGTAACCCATTCCAGTGCTTCACCACCCTCCTAGTGAAATAGTGTTTCCTAATATCCAATCTAGACCTTCCCCACTGCAACTTGAGACCATTGCTCCTTGTTCTGTCATCTGCTACCACTGAGAACAGCCGAGCTCCATCCTCTTTGGAACCCCCCCCCTTCAGGTACTTGAAGGCTGCTATCAAATTCGCCCTCATTCTTCTCTTCTGCAGGCTAAATAACCCCAGTTCCCGCAGCCTATCCTCGTAAGTCATGTGTCCCAGCCACCTAATCATTTTTATTGTCCTCTCTCCAATTTGTCCGCATCATTTCTGTAGTAGGAGGGCATAAAACTGGACACAGTACTCCAGATGTGGCCTCACTAGCGCCGAATAGAGGGGAATAATTACTTTCCTTGATCTGCTGGCAACGCTCCTGCTAATGCAGCCCAATATGCCATTAGCCTTCTTGGCAACAAGGGCACACTGTTGACTCATATCCAGCTTTTCATCTACTGTAATCCCCTGGTCCTTTTCTGCAGAACTGCTGCTTAGCCAGTTGGTCCCCCGCCTGTAGCAGTGCATGGGATTCTTCCGTCCTAAGTGCAGGACTCTGTACTTGTCCTTGTTGAACCTCATCAGATTTCTGTTGGCCCAATCTTCCAATTTGTCTAGGTCACTCTGGACCCTATCCCTATCCTCCAGCATATCTACCACTCCCCCCAGCTTAGTGTCATCTGCAAACTTGTTCAGGGTGCAATCCATCCCATCATCCAGATAATTAATGAAGACGTTGAACAAAACAGGCCCCGGGACCGACTCTTGGGGCACTCCGCTTGATACTGGCTGCCAACTAGACGACGAGCCGTTGGTCATTACCCATTGAGCCTGATGATCTAGCCAGTTTTCTATCCACTTTATAGTCCATTCATCCAATCCATACTTCTTTAACTTGCTGGCAAGAATACTGTGGGAGACCATATCAAAAGCTTTGCTAAAGTCAAGGTATATCACTTCCCCTGCTTTCCCCATATCCACAGAGCCAGTTATCTCAGAAGGCAATCAGGTTGGTCAGGCATGACTTGTCCTTGGTGAATCCATGTTGACTGTTCCTGATCACCTTCCTCTCCAACAAGTGCTTCAAAATGGATTCCTTGAGGACCTGTTGCATGCTTTTTCCAGGGAGTGAGGTGAGGCTGACTGGTCTGTAGTTTCCTGGATTCTCCTTCCCTTTTTTTTTAAATATGGGCACTATATTTGCCTTTTCCTAATCATCCAGGACCTCCCCTGATTGCCATGAGTTTTCAAAGATAATGACCAATGGCTCTACAATCACATCAGCCAACTCCCTCAGCACCCTCGGATGCATTGAATCCGAACCCATGGACTTGTGTATGTCCAGCTTTTCTAAATAGTCCTTAACCTGTTCTTTCACCACTGAGGGCTGCTCACCTCCTCCCCATATTGTGCTGCCCAATGCACCAGTCTGGGAGCTGACCTTGTCTGTGAAGACCGAGGCAAAAAAAGCATTGAGTGCTTCAGCTTTTTCCACATCATCTGTTGCTCGGTTTCCTCCCCCATTCAGTAAGGGTCCCACACTTTCCCTGACCACCTTCTTGTTGCTAACATACCTGTAGAAACCCTTCTTATTACCCTTCCTATCCTTTTGCTAGCTGCAACTCCAATTGTGCTTTGGCTTTCCTGATTATGCTTCTGCATGCTCAAGCAATATTTTTATATTCCTTCCTTGTCATCTGTCCAAGATGTGGGGCCTGATTCTCTTCTCATGGACACTGGTGCATATTAGGAATAACACCGTTGAACTCCAATAATACTGGTGTAAAATTAGCATGAGACCAGAACCAGTCCCTTTGGTTGAGGCAAAGTGGGGATGCTACCTGCACACAGAAGGCCTTTGAAATATCTAAAACAAAGCATAGAAAAGTTGGATGTCGCCCCTTGGGTGTAGTAGGAGAGAACTGCATTGCAGAGGAGGAGTGGATGTCTCTACTTGGAAGCAGTTACTCTTCATGGGGGCAAGGAACTGAACTCAGATTGGCAGGGCTAGCTGCTTTTTTCAGGAGGGATAGCTGGGCATGGCCAGCCTTCCCACAAGCTCTCATGTCCATAGGAGTGTGATGGCATACTCCACTTCATGGCATATCTCATTTCTTTATAGTGATGACCTAACTGTGACAGGGACTGACAACTGCACCTTCGACATCTGCCAGAAAGCTCTGGGGAAGGATGATTTCACCAAGATCCCTAACGGGGTGAACGGTGTAGAGGACAGGATGTCTGTCATATGGGAAAAAGGAGTGGTGAGTATTTTTTCTCATGATTAAGCTGATGTTGGAGCAGAAAAATCCATCTATATCCCCAACAAAAGCTAATGTAACTTCTTAAAAATACTAGCTTCCCAGACCCTTTAGATTGGCTATTATGGCATCTGGTTAGATGAAGCGGCAAGGACCCAAATGCAATTTTTGGTAACACATTTTCAATTCCCATTGACTCCAGAATCCAGTGCCCTCAAAGGAGGTGCTCTGCACCTCTCAGGATCAGGTCCTTTGGACTAGAAACAAAAGCTGAAAGCTAGCAGTCACATTTTTCAAACGTTTATGACTAAAGCTAGAAATCTCAATAAGTGACCTGGCTTTCAGAGGTGTTGATTATCTATCACATGCTGGGTGAGTTGACACTGGAATGTAGAACACTCTGACCAATTCAGTACTATTAAAAGCTCTAGAGAACATTGGTTTAATTGAATTTTGAATTGAACTCCTTTTACCTGGTGAATCTGAATTTCTTGCTGGTAATGTACATTCAAAATATATTAATTTATCACTTAAGAAATGCCCACCCATCTCTCTCTATTGATTGTGATCTATTTTGTAAACCTGTACTTGGGATGCAAAGCAAATATGCATGTTACACACTCTGGGTGGTATTCTGCCCTGATTTACACTCTGTGTAATGTCAGGGGATTCCCAAGGATGTAAATCAGGACAGAATATGCAAGTGAGTCATTAAACACACATACCAGTTGCTGCTTTTGAAAGTGAAACACCTTGGTCAAAGTAACTTTTCAGGAAAGATCACCAAATGGGACTTAGTCATTAAATCTCTCTCTTTTTATACTTGTAGAATTGTATGGTGATTTTTTTTATAGCTAAAACTTTCTCCTTCCAGAGCACTAGTGCAATTAAGGCTGTCACCATTTATTTCCTTTCATTGCTCTCCCCACCATAAATCTTTATTATAGACCAGGGGTGAGCAAACATTTTGGCCTGAGGGCCATATCTGGGTATAGAAATTGTATGGCAGGCCATGAATGCTCACAAAATTGGGGTTGGGTTGCGGGTGGGGGTGAGGGCTCTGGCTGGGACTGTGGATTCCATGGTGGGGCTATAAATGAGGAGTTCAGGGTGTGGGAGGGGGGTCCGGGCTGGGGCAGGGAAGGGGGTGGTGGTGGTGGGTGAGGGCTCTGGCTGGGGGTGCAGGCTCTGGGGTGGGGCTGGGGATGAGGGGTTTGGGGTATAGTAGGGTGCTCCGGGTGGGGACTGAGGGATTTGGAGGGTGGAAGGGGGATCAGGGCTGGGGGTTGGGGCACATGGGGGGGGTGTTCAGGGGTGCAGGCTCTGGGTGGCGCTTACCTCAAGCAGCTCCTGGAAGCAGCGGCATGTCCCCCCTCTGGCTCCTACATGCAGACGCGGCCAGGTGGCTCTGCTGCACGCTGCCCCATCCGCAGGCGCCACCCCTGAACCACCCTGTGGTTCCCGGCCAATGGGGGCTGTGGGGGTGGCGCTTGGGGCCAGGGCAGTGTGTGGACTGGAGCCAGAGAGGGGACATGCAGCTGCTTCCAGGAGCTGCTAGAAGTTGCCCCTGACTCTGCTCCCCGGCTGTAGTGCTGGAGTGGGGCAAACTCCAGACCCTGCTCCCCAGCGGGAGCTCGAGGGCCGGATTAAAATGGCTGGTGGGCCGGATCCGGCCCGCAAGCCATAGTTTGCCCACCCCTGTTCTATACCATTTAATCCAGAATGTTTACTGAGTAATACTGGTAGGGAAGATATTTGCAGACCACCTTTCTGTGTTGTACAATTCAGTATTGCCTTGCCTCCTTGTTACCCATTCACAGATCATCTTCATGTCCACCTTGTTATAATGATTCTTCTCTTGCATCTTAATACTTACTAGAGCTATCTGGAACATGTGGCATCTATTGGTGAAATTTAGAAGGATTATAGAGCCTAATCTAAAGTCACCTGATATGAATGGGGTCTTTCCATTGATTTCAGTTGACTTTGGGATCAGATCCATAGGCAGCTACTCTTTGAAGTGCCACTTTTGGAAAGTTAAAAGAAAATTATTGTATCAAACTCAGCTAATGTACATTACAATGTGTGTGTCAGTGTTATGATATTCATGATTCATTTAAACTCATCAATACAGCACAGATAGTTATTGAAAAGATTGGTGTGGTGTTAGGTGAGACCTCTACACCACTCAGCCATGTGTTTTTGATTACAGGAATTTATTTAATTCCTTCCGGACAAAATGAGTGTTTTTGCTTCCATGTACTGTTTTGCAGCACAGTGGTAAAATGGATGAAAACAGATTTGTAGCTGTTACCAGCACAAACGCAGCTAGAATCTTTAACCTTTACCCGAGGAAGGGAAGAATTGCTGTGGGTTCTGATGCTGACATCGTTATTTGGGACCCAAAAGCTACAAGGTATGGTCTGAGTAATTAAATCCTGTTCATCCAGCCTTTTATGTGGGAAAAGAAATATGAAAACATTTTGTATTGCAATAAGTCCCCAGGGTGGGGTGAGGGCAGGTCTTATTTTAACAGCACTGCACATAAATTATTTACAGGTTATTTGGCACTTACAGTAGTGTATCTAATCAGACGTCTTTGATGTCTAGACAGACTGTAAATGTTTTTCTGGACTGCTGACCTTATAGAAAAACAGCAAGGTTTGTACATTTATACTAAATACCCCTGTGTGTGAAGAGTAAAACTAACTAATGGAGTGCTAAACTCAATTATACAGTTCAGTCACAAGGTGGCGCTGGGTGTCAAATGCCGTATTTAAGCTAACCTTAGCCATACCCGGCAGAGCATTAAAAAATCTTACACTCCAGATGTGTTCACTGTATCTCTGAGAAGGAAGCTTTGTAATCCACGTATATCTGATACAGAAGTCTGACCTGCTAGCAGCAACCAGGCAACCAACTCTATACAAGAAGTACATGACACTAACCACACTGAGACCTCTCTGTAACTATGATCCATGCTAGCTAAGTTCAGCCTCCCACCATTGCAAGAAGGCGGGAACGGGAAACAAGCATCCTTGGCTTCCCTGCGAAGGGCCCTAGCACAATCCTAGTCCTTGAACGCAAGGAAAGTGCGAGGGCTGCTCTGGGCTAGTGCCTAGTCTAAGAGGGTGGAGCCCAGGCCTCATTCTGCCCCTGCCCCAACCAGTTAAGTTAGTGTCACCCACTGGTGAGTGTATGTTATAAGTTCTTTGCCACAACAGGTTTCACCTCCAACTACAAAGGTGCCGTTTTCCTATGGGTATCTTTTCAGTCAGCAAGGCTCTGCTTCCTTATTTGGACAGATGAATTTTAAGTTCAGAAAATGCATTTTTTGTTTAGGATCTGATCCTGCTCCTGTTGCATGGGATGGGAGCTTTGCCTTTGAGTGTAACAGGAGCAGGATTGAGCCCATACAGTGGTTGTGAGACGAGTACATTACTAAAGCTATGTCTACACTAGCACTTTTGTCGGTAAAACTTCTGTCAGTCAGGAATGTGAAATAAACGCACGCACACACACACCCTGACTGACATAAGTTTCACCGACAGACACGCTGATGTGGACAGTGCTGTGTCAGCAGGAGACGCTCTCCCACCAACATGGCTACTGATGCTCTTTGATGGTTGGTTTAATTATGCCGACGGGAGAGCTCTCCCCTTCGTATAGAGCGGCTACATAGGAGACCTTATAGTGGAGCAGCTGCAGCGGTATAGCTGTGCTGCTGTAAGGTCTGTAGTGTAGGCATCGCCTAAGTATACAGGTGATGCTAATTCTCACTAGTAGCATCTTTATATGTTTCACCAAAAATCCTGAAGAGGGCACACACAACCTACTGGAAAAATGAAGCTAGCTGACAGCCTTCAACCATTTGAAATATTACGCACAGCCAACCTCGTGAGCTTTGTTGCATTTTGGCAATGATTTGAAATTTCATAATAGCTGCATTCTTATTTATTAATAAATGTTAGATGCTGGCTCATTTGAAACAAAATCATTAGCGTCACTAACATGCATAAGTCCAGTCCCCCTGGTAGGATGCAATGGGGCTGCAGTTTTAAAGCACTGGATGTTACCAGCGGAAAGAACTGGACAAGTGCTGATTCATAACTATGGAGAATTGGGAGTGGAGCGCAGCAGAGGAGGCCCGCAGGGGAGATTCTGACATCTCTCTGAAAGATTACCAATGGTGATGTGAGGCAGTTTAAAAAAACCCTACAAAATCAGCTGCATTAGCCCTTCTGTGTCATTGCACAGTAACAGCAAGTTGGGTGGTTTTGTTGCATGCTGAGTGTTTTGCTTTCCTTTGCTTTTCTTCCTCAGGTTATAAGAATCTAGTGGATTCAGAGTGACAGCTCAGTGAGCCAGTAGCTATTGCAGTTGACACAGGTTCCATTTCCAACACTCCACCAGTCTGGCCAAGACTTTCATTTTAAGGGTCCATTTCACATTGAAATCTTTGGCCTATTTCTGCAGGATTCACTAGTTATTTTTGCAGAAAAAGTGTGGTGCATAATTCTCAGTGTATGTATTTAAAAACCTCAGTCTCCTAGTTGTAATGCTTTCTGCATAGCAGCAAGCAGTCTGAGCAGAGACATGTCAAATGTACAAACTAATTAAAAATACTAGAAAAGATGTAATAAAAAATACTTGGAAGTCCAAGGCAGCAGTAACTTATTTTCTACCAATTTAGGATTATTTTAAGCTCCTATACTTAAGTATTCATTAAACAGCACTTGGATAGGAAAAGAACTGTAATGTTATAGTATTTATGCTACATGGTATCTTCTTACAGACCCCAACACACACAGCACCCCGATACATCTTGTACTTCAGTGTTGAGTGAAGAGTCTTAGGGAAAATGTGTGTGGGTAGCAGATGTGCAGTGTTGTATTCACTGACCTTTATTATTTTTAATTCAGGCTTTGCCCATGAGCGTGCAATACATGTTGATTGAAACTTCCCCCCTCACTCCCAATTGCTCTCATTGGCTGTTGTATTGTGTGTGTGCATTCTGACAACTCAAACCCCAGTGAAACAAAAGCAATTAAGTGCTACATTCCAAATGGGAGGGACAGTGGGGAAGCACACAGCAATGTGTGCATCCGAACACACACACACTGTCAGCTGTTGTTTCGCTGACACCTTTTAATGCCTGAGAGACATGGACAAGTAGTGATCTGGCCTTGCAAAGGCAATGGAAGCAGAGCTGCTTGAAGGGTCAGGCTTTAACGGGCTTAATCTAAAGCTCACTGAAATCAATTGGAGCCTTTATGTTGACTTCAATGGGCTCAGGATCAGGCACTAAATGCTTATGCATTTATCTAATGTTGGTGGACAAATCTGCACTCATTTAAAAAAAAAGAATCTGCAGCCTGTATCTGTCACGTTTTTTGTCAATCTTCAGCCCCAGCTGCACATGGGGGGGAAAGCCACACAAGGTAACGACTTTTTGCCAAGAGCCTGCTTGTTGTTATTCATAAGAAAGAGAAACACAACACATTAGCAGAGCAACTTGTGCTGTCATGGTGCTCTTAACCCCTTTGAAGTGTGAGCATAATTTTGAACACTTCATACATTAAATACCAGCAATTAGATACCATGGTGAAAGGTGTCATTAAAAAACTAGGAAACATACAATTGCGTGTGTGTGTAACACATGTGCAATGATATTTTCAGAAGATCTTCTTCTTCTCTATATATGCACACTCACTCACTCACTCAAAATCCAAAGTAGCTTTACTGAAGTCAGTATAGCTCCAGTGATGTGAGCAAGAGAAGAACCAGGCCTGATTAATAACCCTACTAAACCAAATGACTGTGTTCATTCTGTCCCACTATGGTTGATCTCAGTCTGCATTTGATAATGTCTAGCCTGGAACAAGAACCTATTTAATTAGTAACCAAAGTTGGAGTACTTAAATTCATCAATGTACTCTCTTGTTCAGGTCTTTGATGCTTGCAGTCAGATTATACTTTCCTTACATTGAGTAATTCCTTAATCCACCAGAAATCCCATTGTCAAAATGGGACCAATTTCAGCCCCAATAAAGATGGCAGATTTGGGCCCTTGCATTTGAACTGCTGCTGCCAATTTTCAATCTAAGTTCCATTAGCTGAGCAGTCAATAACATTCAGAGAAAATACAGGAACTTTCAGAAGCTTCCTGGTAATGCTGCTCAGTGCTGATCTTGTCAATGATAACAGAAAACACTTTGATGCAAAATTGTATTGTCATGATCTCCGGGTCAATCAGTGCCTCTCTGGCTTCTGTTTAATCAGGTGTTCATTCATTCTTTCTACTTCTGCATGTCCTGGGACACTTCAACTGTTGTGGCTATTACCAGGGATTTCAAAGGGTCACACGTAACTTTGGCGGGTTAAATTAATGAAGATATCCTATCTCCTAGAAGGGGCCTTGAAAGGTCATCAAGTCCAGCCCCCTGCCTTCACTAGCAGGACCAAGTACTGATTTTTGCCCCAGATCCCTAAGTGGCCCCCTCAAGGATTGAATTCACAACCCTGGGTTTAGCAGGCCAATGCTCAAACCACTGAGCTATCCCTCCCCCAAAGGGTTTTTTAAAATCAATTAATTTATTTTATCAAGGGCTATTAAGGAGACTGTATTTAGATCCTGCTGTACTTTCTGAAGATTAATACTTGTATTACACTACTGTAAAGGAGCTTTGTGGAAGGCAGCCTCCAGAAAATCCATTATGTCATCTAGTACTTTTTATCACTGCCATTGGATTTCTTTCTTACTTGTGCCATCTCCCATGAATTTCGTGTGTCTCTTTTTGTTTAGCGATATGCCCACCTAGTGTGCCTTTGCTATAGTATGCTGAAGCAGCCTCCATGATGAGTGTAAGGATTTTAGCTAGCTTCCACATCTTTTTGACACCTTTCCAAAATTTAGTGGCTCAGTGCTAATGTATGATAGGATATGATCCCTAAAGATAATTCCATCATGGGCACTGTTACTCACCACTGTGGCAGTTGTAACCATAAAGGTACAGCAGAAAGCTGCTCACAGAGACGCACTCTTTGTATAGTTATTAACGCCTGTGGGTGTATTGGTTCAAAGTTTTTGGTGGGATTGATCAATATTGAGAGAATGTTCTTGAGGTTTTCCTTCCATTTCTTCAGTCTTGGAGATGCGTATAACCAAGAAGATGATATTGACACTGAAGCATGTGTATTTGTCTGTTTTCTACTTAAAGCATGCTAAATAAAGAGCATCTTTTCCCTTGGGCAAAGCAGCCATTAAGAATACAGCACATGTGAGGTATTTAATGAAAAGTCAGCTGCCACTGAGATTCGCTATCACACTTAAAAGCAATCACGTCCACTAAGTCTTCATGATTTACAGATCAATATGAAAGGACAACTACACGTTCTTCCAAAATAATCGGAAAAGTGTGGTAATGCAGTCACTAAGATTTTCCTGCATCTGTTTGCCTAATTAATCCTTTAAAGTACGTGATGCATGAACACTATTGAAAATGGTAAACCCTCAAGAAAATACTTATTCAAAGTCAGTCAGGTATTAAGATTTTTAGTATTGCTCTTATTAAAAATATAATTGCTTATAATTGCTCTTCTGGAAACTGATGAACATAGGGAATACCATCTTAGCTTTCTCTTTGAAAACTCTTTCACAAAACAAGGCCTCTGAAATAATGTTAAGGGCTGTGTTTTCACATACATAATGCTTTTTTGTACAACATGAGTGGCCAAGCCTGAAGATCTCTGGCTACTTCCAAACGATGTTCAATAAGTGAAAACGTAAATGTAAGCACTAAAAAGGAAAAATGCCCAAGTAAAAATAAAACTCAGAGAGGAAATGAAAAATAACTAAATAAAAATCACACTCCCCATCATACACTTAATGGGAGGCCATGTGTCTGGCCCAGGGGAAAAGGGCCAGGACATTTGAGTTCTAATCTCAGCTCTGCTGCTGACTCTGTAGCAACTTAGGGCTTGTCAGTACGGAAAGAGCTATTGCAGAATAAGCTATACATAAATCATGCTAATTATTCTAGAAGATGGTGATTTTTATTCCAGAATAGAATGTCCACACAGGGAGCTATTACAGAAGAGTTATTCTGGTCCATTTCCTCATTTAGACAATCCTTTCATCTCTTAGGGTACATCTACACTACAGGGGGGAGTCGATTTAAGATACGCAAATTCAGCTACGTGAATAGAGTAGCCGAATT